CACCGGCCCCGCGGGTGTCCCCGGGGTGTCCCCGGGGCTGGCTGCGGCTCCCGGCGGGGAAGAACCCGCTGTGGGCAGGGTTGGGCTCACCGGCTGCCCTTTGTGCTGTCCTGTCTCATTGCAGGTGAAGTTACCGAAGCGCTTCGGGGAAGCGGGACTTGAGGGCGTTCGTTGGGGACGCGCTTCAGTGGATGAAAACCTGGGCGAGGGCCAGAGAGATGCGGGGAGGCTGGAGAGAAGCGGCCGGACAGCCTGAACCCCAGCCAGCTGCTGCTGCTGCTGCTGCTTTGCCGCCCTCGGTGCCAAGAAGCATTTCAAATCTGTTATTTATGAACCTTGGAAAGGATCCTTTGGTGTGATGGGACTTCCAGGAGACATGACGTACTGTAACTCTATTTTAATGTATTTTATTTTATTTATTAGGGTTGTTTGTTTTTTTTGGTTGTTTTGTTTGTTGCTTTTGGTTTTTTTTTAAAGGCTTGTTTGCAAGACATTTCTGAATGTAGGCCGTATCCAAAAAGCAAAGGAAAAAAAAAACCCGTGTACGTTAGCTCCTCAAAGGAACTAAGAAGTTGTGTGTAGTTCAGCTGTGTGCAATCTGACTAAAGAGGTTTTCATTTTTATCCGAAATACATTGTATTACACTAGCATGGGAAACGTGATGTGTGATTTGGGAAATTTGGCTGAAACCCACACCGCGTATGAAAACTCTTCTCTTTAGTGAGAATATAAATTACAATCTGGGTTTTAAATTATTTTCTTTTGAAATATACACGTGGCGGAAGATGATGAAATCTTACACACTCTTTGGTTATTCCAAAAAGTGATGTTGATTGATCCTCCCAGAGTAAAACCCATTTGCTTAACGTCTGAACGGGGCGGAATCTGACCCGTTTCTTTTGCGGTGCAGGAGTCGCAGCTGGATTTTGGTACCCGGTGGGGTGTGCTCGCTCCCGGGCTGGGGGCAGCGCTGATGGAGGTTTCTCAGTGCCCGAGTTGGGGGCTCCTCCCGCACGGTTGGCTCGAGAGTGGTCCGGGCTCTCGGCCTGCGCTGAATTTTCGTGGCGGTTTTAAAATGTCTTGCATTAAAGTCGCCCCCAGTGTAAAATCCATCTTATCTGCGTCTTAGCGTGCAAATGGATTATTTTGGTCACAGTTTTCCTAAGCTGGAAGTTGCTCCCGAGCTGAGATACACTAGATTAATTTTGGTGTTTAGCACTGTCAGATGTGGAGAGAGGCGTGCGATCTCGCCTCTAAAAAAACGTTGACGAAGCCATGAAGTTGGAAAACAAAGGGCTAATTGCACAGCTGGTGCGTCTTCCTCTGCCTCTTAGGAGTCAGTGGGAGTTTGGCTGTGGATGCTGGCGAGAGAGGGCTGGAGCTGCTCGCCCCAGAGCAGAGGAGGGAGCCGGGTATGGGTCAGTGGGCTTTCTGGGACAGGGCCCTTCAGGTGATGGGTGGCTTCAGGTTGTGTGTGGCTACCACCCGGGTTCACTGGTTTCTGTGGAGTGGGGAGGTTGTAAGCGGGGATGGGGCGATGTGGCCCGTTATCTCCGGTTCAAGGTAAAAAGTCCCAGCCTCCCAGCTATTTATTTTAGGTAGCGCAGTGAGGAAAATGGCTTTTGGCCCCTTTACAAGTTACACGAATGTAAGCAAAAACTTCTAAAGCCACGCATCCAGGACTTTTCTGTTTGTGTAACTGAGGCGTAGCTTGACTGTAAAAGCCCCGCGTTCTCGGTTCAAGCTGTTTCTGTAAGTGTTTAAAGCAAAAGACTGAAGTGACACTCTAAGGAGGATCTCGGAATCGGCTGCTGCTCGTGATGGTCCCTTTGTGACTTCTGCACCCTAAGCTTCAGCTCAGTCCTGTAAGGAGAGATCTCTTGTAGCCCTCTGCTTCTCCTCCTTGCCCCCAGATGTCAGAGTCACATATCATAGAATCATAGGGTGGTTTGGGTTGGAAGGGACCTTAAAGGTCATCTATAGTTCCTCCCTGCCTGCCCTGGGCAGGGACACCTCCCGCTAGACCAGGTAGTGCAAAACACGCCGTGGTGCAGAATTAAAGCCCAGACCTGGCTGGTCCTCTGTGGCTATTCCCAAACGTTTCTTTCTAATCTGGCCCTTGACGAGGTTGCGTGACGAGCTTGGGGTGGTACATTACAGCTGTCCTAACAAAGTTATTACTTTGAGATTAATTGAAATCGAAGGTGCCCTGCATCTTCTAGGATTAGATTCGCTGTCTTGGCAATCATAATAGCCAATTTCCACGTCTCTGTACATCTGCCATTATCATTCTGCTAATGCTTGGATGTTAGAGCTGCAAGGGGATTCTCTAATGAGCTAGTCAAAGACTCACAAAATAGACTGTAATTTGTAATTTGGCTCCTCTCTTTAGAGTCATTAATTACAGTTTGCTGATTAACTAATCCACCTTTTCAGATGTACAGACGTATCGCTGATATCTCACCTACTAAAATACGTTTTAGCCTACTGAAGGATAAATGTAATTGATGAAAATTAATTCCTGTGTGATGGGAGACATGTATTTCTCTAGGAGAGGCAGGTATTCCTGTCCTTGGTGGATGCAAGCCTCTGAATGCCACAAAAGTCTATGGATCTGGTCTAAAGCTGAAATTTTACTGCTCTTCTGGAGGTATTTGTATTTTGAAAATGAAATATGACCATTGTAGTGATATAATTGACATTAAGGTTTCAGAAAAGAGCTTTCATTGTGAATTTGCTGCTCTTTTTCATTGATTCAAGGTCAATGTCCCACTTTCATCTTATGCTTCTTGTTTTAAGTTGGTCTGAAGGATGCTCTCAAAACCATTTGGACTGATGTAGTTCACCAACAAACTTTTGCCCGTTGTCATTCCCTACTGTGTTACCTTTTTAAAAACATTGGTGTCGGCCAAAACACTTAGTGTGAGAGATGGTCACGTCACAAAATCCACCTTGAGCTGTTCCTGTGCCTGCAGCCTGAGTTGGTGGGGTGGGTGTGAGGATCAAACCTCCCCCTTGTGTCCCCCGGCTGTCTCCTGGAAACTGAATGGGAACAAATTGGCTGGGGTCCCCTGGGGACAGTCGGGCCATGTAGCTTATGCCATGTCAGTATAAATAAGGCTAAATTGTCTGATGTGGACAATCCAACAACTTTCTCACGCTCTAAATTCCCCGGGTTGATTTTTTTTTTTTTGGCTGATAGTAATTTTAGCCCAAGAAATTGTTTGATGTTATAAATGAGGTAGTTCTGGGCTTTTTTTGGCTTGCCCTCTCCTACTGCATAGGTTTCATTGGAGCTACTTGGTTAAATACTGTCTGTCGCTGCCTTGTAAGTGATGGCTAGGAAAGTAGGTCCAGTAGATCATGCTCCAACTTACTGGAGCTTTAGAAGTAAAGAAATTGGGTCCATCCCCTTACAAAAAAGAACCCCAAACCAAAACAAACAAAAAAAAAAAAGGGAGGAAAAAAGCGCCAACAATATGTGGCTGAAGTAAATTCACTAGAGAATAAACAAAATTTCCAGGAAAATATACACGGGCAAATGCTTGGTACAGATAACGAAAGTGTGGGCAGTCAACTCGTGAAGAGGTCAAAATTACACGTCTTAATAAAAGAAAAAGTGATTAAGGGGCAGATTCAGCAAGAAAATTCAAGCTGTGATGACCAAGAAAATTTAGAAATTGGGTGAAAAGGAAGATCAAGTGGATGTTGTCTCTGTGACATCCTGAAGTAATTTCTCTTTTTTTAAGGTTCATTATATGCAAATGCCAGCTTCTGAATTATAGCTGCAGTGATGTACCAAATGTTTTCTAGCATATCCTATTGTGAGCAGAAATATCAGTGTCATCAAAAAAAAAATTGTGTGTAAATATGACTCATAAATGATTTCTGAGAGATGTGATTTATTTTTCATATTTTTCAAGATGCATTCCATTTCAAATAAAGAGGTATCTATTGAAAGAGCTCTCGATATGTTGGAGGACTGGTTGTTTGGTGGGCTATCTGTTATGGTTAAAGCCTGATCTAAGCTTTTCCAATGTCTTAAACTCAATCCAAGGGCCTGAGAGGAACGCTTTGGACCTATGTAGATACCTTCCGAAGGGAAGACCCATTTAGATGCTCCAATTAATCTTTGTCCATAGCACAATTATGAGGCTCAGGGTCCTCGGTTTTGCTTCTTGCACCCCCACCGAGTCCTACTAATTTCAGTAATAATCCATTTGGCGTCGCAGTCCACGCATAATGGCTCTTTGGGACACAGACTTCAGGCTTATAATTATGTTTACCCATGAGCACCTCGCACTGTGTGACATTAGGAATCTAAAACGAAGCGTAAGATGTGCCTTGTTGCTCTGTTTTGTGTGTCTGAAGCACTGTGACTGAGTTTCAAGTAACCCGAAAGTAGTCCAGAAAGAGTACTCCCACCATTTGGTGTATCCTCTGACCCGGTCTCTTCCAGCTTCGTGGGAAAAGAAATGAGGTACGACAAGAAAAATGTGTGATGATTTCTGCTGCTTTGGGATCTCCATGGAACTGCAGCCGTTTGGATGCCTTGAACTCCCCTGAGGTGTGTTTGTATTGCAGCAGGTCTGCATTTTTAAGCACCTTCTGAAAGTGTATTAACTTTAGTGACACAGTGTGCGTTGACCTAGACTTGGTGGTGCTAATTGCTTTCTCTAGAGAGATGTCAGTAACCTCATCCATAAGGCGGCTATTGCTGTAACAAGCACAAGTTCGCTTTCTCAATAGCAAACATCCAGAATGTGGGCATTTGAACTTAATATTTGATACAGAAGTGATGGCTTAAAGAGCTGACCTCTCACAAGCGCTGGTGCTCGGCAGCTTTGAAAAGCCAATTAAGCATCTGTGGATTTATTGTCTGTTCAAGGGCCCACCGTTGCTTACACTTAAGAGATGTCCCTTACAAGCTTTTTAACAACAGTGATAAGTAAGTATCTCTTTAAGGGCTTAAATATAGTAGAACAAGAACTTAATAATTAGTCGTTGTTTCTGCTCCTGCATCAATGGTGATAGCTTTAAAGCGTATCAAAAACATGTTTTTCTGCTTTAATTCTGCTTTTTAATAAGAGGATGTAAAAATAAGGCTGCTCACATATTCATCGTAATACGAAATGGTCCTAGAAACGGGGTCATTATTTTCCTAGTGGGGAATATTGTCTTAATAGGTGATCCAAAGTAGGATAGGAAGAATGCTGAAGCTCAGTGCAAAGTACAGAGAAGAAACCTGGGCCAGAT